GGCAAAAGAATAAGGAGAAGCCAGGTTACAGCTGGAGCCTAACCCTGGGAGCCCAGCAATGTGAACTACACCTCATGGTCTGTCTTAGTATAAGCCAAGGGGTCAGGGTGGGCTGAGATGTAGGGCTTGCAGTATTGATTAGGACTGGGGTCCAGGAATGAGGACTGTGAAGGCTCCAGGTAAGGTCCCAATGAGGCTGCACATATAGGGAAGTCCAGATTCATTGAAATATGCATCCTTTGTGATTTTTGCCCACTGTGGCCCAATGAGATGTGCATTTCCCCCTCTTCCCTGCTCCCCCCCACACACAATGTCTCAGCCAAGCCTTCTGGTCCCCTGATTCATCCTCTTCCTCTCATAGCCATTGGCAGACACCAGGAGACCTGTGACTCAGTTGTCCTGAACCCATGCTGGCACTTTCTCTGAGGATGCAGTAGGCCCCAGCACAGGGTCTGGCCCAGGATGGATAGGAAAGGACCTGGGTTAGAGAGACAGGCATATGAACTTAGCAGCAAATATGTGGTTGCCTTTAATTTACCTTAGAACTTTTCAGGGTGGAGCTGGGAAGGTGGCTCAGTGGAGGAGCGCTTGCCTTGCAGGCATGAGACCCTGGGTTCAATTCCTCAGCACCACATAAGCAAAAAGAAAAAAAAAACGTAAGTGGTGCTGTGGCTCAAGTGGTAGAGCGCTAGCCTTGAGCTGAAGAGCTGAGGGACAGCGCCCAGGCCCAGAGTTCAGGCCCCATGACCGGACCAAAAAAAAGAACTTTTCAGGGTGTTCTTGAGACCACCAGGATCCTGCAGGACCAGTGTTAGGAGCCCCAGCTGGCTTTTGGAGGAAGCAGGGGCACAGGGAGGTATTACATAGCTGGGGTGACAGTTGGGACTCAGGGCTTTCTGAACTGGGGGACAGGCAGGTCAGAAGAAGGCATGGGAAGGACTCTGAAGGCAAAAAGTTGCCCACGTGGCAGGGACAGGAACATGGTAACAGAGTGACCTCATTGCTTTGGTTTTCCCTTCTGTGAATCTGTCCCCTGTTCAAAAGCCCTGGGAAGGTCTGGGAAGGTGGCTCAGTGTAAAGCGCTTGCTTTGCATGCATGAGGCCCCGGGTTCGGTTCCTCGGCACCACATAAGCAGAAAAAGCCAGAAGTGGTGCTGTGGCTCAGGTAGAATACTAGTCTTGAGCTGAAGAGCTGAGGGACAGTGCTCAAGCCCAGAGTTCAAACCCCAGGACCTCACCCCCCCCCAAAAAAAGCCCTGTGGGAGAGTTCCCTGACACCCACAAAAATCAAGTCTAGTCTCCTTCCAGGCCTATAGGACCCCCTGCCCTTTGACCTCCAATCCTTTAAGCCCTTTAGTGCCACTCAGTCCCCCTCCCACCCTGGGAGCTTTGAAACTCAAATTTAAATAATTCAATGAATCCATCTAATTGAAACTACTTAATCGTACAGGAGGCTTAATTAGTTTAAATGATGTGATTAATTTTGATGTAATTGGCTGGGTGCCCCCAGGGAGGGAGGGGACAGGTAGGAAGCACTAGTTTCCAGTGCCTGTGACTCCAGCCTACATGTCTGCTGCGCTGGCTGAGCTTGCTGAGGGCAGGCTGGGTCTCTCAGCCCCACTGTGGCTCCAAGGCTCCAGGAGTCCCTGCTGCATTGTAAGGGCTCAGAGAACAATCCACACAACATGCTACTGTTGAAGGAAGCCACAGGGAATTGAGTTACCCCTATACCAAGACACTAGCTAGTAACTACAACCTGGAGATCCACAGACACTCCTACCTCTTCCAAAGAGATCACAGAGGCCCAGGGGTAAGCACGGAGAGTGCACCCTCAGGGTAGAAAGCTCAGAGATGATCTCAGCCCCATGCAGGTAGCTCACCTGTGTGGGCATGAGGTCCCTGTTGCTGGTGGGTGCAAGAGGTTGCTGCAAGGCCTGAGGGCAGTGCTGCTAAGGAGGGTGTGCACACACAAGTGTGAGCAGACATTCCCACCCCAGGGAGGGAGACTCTGCTCCCCAGCCACTTCCCTGCCCATGAGGAAGTCTGAAAAGAAGCCACTGCATGGCCCCTTTCCTAGATCAACTGCCCTGGCAGCTTTTATTACTATTATTATCTTTAAGTAGTTGTTCAGAGGTGTTGCCATTTAACAAAGCAATTGATGAATACAATGCATCTTGACCAATGTCTAATAGCTTTGATGGTAGAGGGGAGACAGCTTTAATTTGATTCAGGGACTGCCAGGTGAGCAAGTGGCCTCTCCAGGCCCAGCTTCAAGAGCAGAGAGGCAGCTCCATGCGTGGAGACCCCCAGGGGCTCCAGCCTCTGAAAGGCAGAGGCAGGAAGTCAGACTGTGTAGGTGCCTAGCTGCTGTGAGCCCACTGGAAATAAACAGTACCATGGCTCTGACCAGCCCAAACCTTAACACATCTCTGCCAGGCTCTGAGGCCTCCGTTACCTGCTTCCTGAGTTCAGCCTTGGGCCACTGTGCTGTTTCCTGTACCATCAACAGGCCCCGCTGAGCCTCCCAGGCTATCCTATAGGCAGAGGACTGACACAAATGTAAAGCAACAAATGAAGAAAACAGGACAAGCATAGGGCAGTCATGGAGGCCTCTCTGAGGAGGTGGCCTACTAAGCCGAACATTTCCAGGGAGAGTATTCTAGGAAGCAACAGCTAGTGTAAAGGTCCTGTGGCACATCAAGATAGAAACCAAGGCAGGATGCTATGGGCACAGTGTGTGTGTGTGTGTGTGTGTGTGTGCTTGTTACCAGGGTTTGCTTGAACTCAGGGCCTCATGGTCTTGCTTTTTTTTCACTCAAGGCTAGCCTTTTACCATTCAAGTCACAGTTCCACTTCCAGCTTATTGCTTGTTAATTGGAGATAAGAGTCTCTCAGACTTTCCTGCCCAGGCTAGCTTTGAACCACAATCCTCAGATCTCAGCCTCCTGGGTAGCCTGGATTATAGGTATGAGCCAGTTTACAGCATGAATTTGAGGGAGGAAAGACCTAAGAGGCTACCTGCCTGGACCTCCAGCACAGAACTGGCCAAACCTCTGTTGGAGGCAGGCGGGTGCTCTCAAACCGGCCTGTCTGCTCTGATATTAATGCTAACCTGCATTTGAAAGGGAAAGGCCATGTGCCTCTGCCATCTGTGTCCACCCAGAGGGCCACATTAATCCGGGAGGTGCCTGCCCCAACTTTGCTGCCGGCTGGGAAATCCAGACCCCCCCTGGCTGCAACAAGAGGTGAGGTCAGACCCTGAAGCCCATAGGAGGCTGGGGGAGGTACCTGTACAGTATCGGTGGTTTGCAGGCCCTGTTCCAAGTCTGGGTCTGGGCCTTGGAAAGGTCAACGCCCTGTCTGCGTATTTGACTACAGAATGCCCTTTGTGAAAGCTGAAGGGTGGCATTAAATGGTAATGGAATGCAAAATGCCTGGTGTTTGCAGTACTGCGTAGAGGACTCTGCAAAAAAAAAAATTGTAAAGTGCTATGTACTCTTGGCAGGACTTAGCAAAGTGTAAATAAACTACTTGATCAAGTGCCCCGCAGCCCTTACGGGAAGACTGCAAACGATTAACTTTGCAACCGTGTTGGGGACACGTCGAGTGCTTTCTCTGGCCCACTGTGGAGGGCGGGACACCATCCCCGCACGTTGTCACACGGCCGGGCGGGGCTCCTGACGCACCGGGGCAAAGTCCGGGCTCTGCTGCCTCCTGGCGGCCGCAGGCGAGGCGACCGCGCCCGAGATTTGGCTCCCTGGCCCCGAGCACCCGCAAGGACGCGCAGGCGCACATCCCGCTATGGCCTACACTCGGGCTGTGCGGATTGGTTCCGTCCCTCGTGCATTCGCTATTCGCTCGACTGACCTCCTGCTCGAGGTTGGCAGGGGATAAGTTGGCAGATCGCATCTGCTCAGTGAAAGCAGTCACAAGGGAGACCTGGAGAGGTGAGAAGGGAAAGAGGGGAGGGGTTTCAGGCAGAGGATACAGGGACCTCAAGGGGCCTGGGGTGGGGTCTGAGACCAAAGCTCTCTGAATCTGTTATACAAGCAGTCCAAGGAAGGGTTAACAGTGGGCATCAAGGGCTGAGGATGGAAGAGTGGTGGGTGAAGGCATTAGCCAGACCCTATGGGTGCCTGTCCTCACTTGTAGGAATACGGTGGCTCTGCCTCATACCTCGAGAGGTGGTAGTGACTCCTCCCATGTCCCATCTATGCCTCATCAGTCATCATTCATCCTCCTGACCTGTGATTGGCCAGTGGGGTGGGCAAGTACCCCTTCACAGCCAATAAGAGCTATGTCTGGGACTTGGGAAGAGCTCAGGCTCATGGTTTGTTCAACCTGCACACTAGGTTTGCCCTGCCCCCAGGAAAGTGGTGCGTGGACACAGAAAGTCCTTGGGGACATTAACCAAGTGCCTGGATCCCACAGCGCTTGAAGCCAGACACTTTCCTGCTAATGAGAGAAATGCTCAGGACTGAAGGAAGTGTTTACCCATCCCACACAAGGACCTCAGAGTCAGACTGCAAGCTGGCAGGGGGACTTCTAAATGCCTTCTCCTGGGGCACCACTCCCTGTCCCTGAGTCCGTGTCTCTATTTTACAAGCTGTGTGGCTTTGGGCAAGTTATACTTCGACTGGCTGGGTGTGTTTTCTCATCTGTAAACCAGTACAGCACAGAGACACTGACAAGGTACCCATATAGTGCCTTGGGCACGGTGGGGGTGTGCCCGTTGCTCATATATCTGGCTGTTGTCAGCCTTAGATGGTGGCAGGACAGGAAGTCCCCACCAAAAACCAACCTGTGTGCTGCGTCCAGCAGCGTGCCTGGCACCTGGGCACTGAAAGCCTTGGACCCCTGGAAGCCTTGTGTCCCTTCACAAGGGGCCTAGTGGGCCGGTGATTCCCACTTCCTCATGGAGCTCTCCTGCAACATTCTCGGGGACCTCCCCAAGGAGGAGTAGGCTCACCACAATCGTCACACAGTCTCTTTTCTTTTCTTTTTAATTAAAACAGCAACCAGTTGCCTGCCTGGGGCCGCCAGGGAAAGGCCAGAGAGGGGCAGGCCTTTCTTTCACAAAAATATATTTTCTTTTTTTCTGTTTAAAAACACCACCAAAGCACACCCACAGACAGACCCTGTGAGCCCTCACAGGCCCACCGAGAGACCTTGAGCCCCACCTCCCTAGACTCCAGCCGGAGCAGAAGGGCAGGTCTCAGCCTGCAGGAAGCCCAGGGCTGGAGAAGTAATCAACTCCAAACCATGCAAGGAAAAACAAAAACAAACAAACAAAAAAAAACAAAGAGAAAAACAAAAACAGCCCATCCCACAAAGCAAAAGGAAAAGTCAACAGAAGATAAATTAAAATTAAGAAAAAGAAAATAAAAGTGACCCAACACTATTAGAGGTGGTGAGGGGGGCTGGACAGGTGTGCCCCTCAAGGCCACTAGCCAGTGGTGAGTCAAGGCCCCAGATAGCTGAAGGTTACCCCTTGAGAGACTTAGGGATTCACATGGCTCATCCCCTACTGTGTCCTCCACACGAGGCCAGAACAGAGGTGTGGCCACCCTGGGCCAAAGTGTACAAAGTCCATTCAGTTGAGATAAAAAAAAAATATACAACTTGGGTGGCATGCAGGCGGGGCCCAAGCTGGTGGCTCGTCCACACAGGCACTGGCTGCCTTCTCCAGGAGGGGCAGCAGAGTTCACGTGGGGTGCCCAGGCCCCTCCAAGTCCAAGGCTTGGTGGAGACTTGGGGTCCTTGGAGCAGCAGAGCAGAGGCACTGACGAGGCCCCCATGGGCCTACTGGGAGTCCTGGAAGAACTGGTTCTTTGGCACTTGAGACACATGGCTGGTTGCAGAGCCAAGGCAGGAGCAGCCCCCTCGATTCCTCCCAGAATGCCCAGGGCCAGGATGGCAGTAGCTTATGGCTGTGGGCAAGCACTGCCCCAGCAGAGAGGACTCGGATGCTGGAGGACCAGTGGAATCCCATGTCAGCCCGCTATGAATCCTCTCCCAGGATCTCCTTTACAAAGGCAGCAATGTCCGTCTTCTTGGTTTTGTGCAGGGTGAAGAAAGGGTGCTCCTGGAGGGGAGACAAAGGCACCGTCACCAGAGAGGGAGAGGGGGAAGAAGCCCTCTTCCCCAACCCATGCCATCGCTGTGCTCCTTCTGCCTGGCAAACTCCTACTTGTCCTTCACCTCTATGAAGCCCTCCAGGACTGGGAGAGAGTAGTTCAAGACCCAACCTCATCCTGCCACACTAACCACCCCTTCTCCACATGCCCCACATGCCCCACACTGGACCCCCTGCTGGAAATGATCTCTCCACTCTCCACCCTTCCTTCCATCAGTTCAAATGATCTTCCTCCAGGAAGCCTTCCCTCATGCTACCTTGGTGACTCTGCCCTGCCATCCCAGCCTGTGTAATCCTCCACAGGCCTGGGGTGCAGAAGGAAGGAGGCAGGCAGATGCGCGTGCGTGCGTGCGTGCATGCATGCGTGTGTGTGAATGAGAGCAGGAGTTGCTATTCTGCATCTGGGACAGCTGAAGTGTAAGGCAGGCCCTTCCCATGCTCACCATCAGCTCCAGGTAGCTCATGCGCTCTGCAGGGTTCTTCCTCAAGCTACAACAGAATGGAGGGGGGAAGGGCGCTGAGGTCAAGCCAAATACAGAGAAAGCCAGTCCCACTCCTGGGACTCAAGGAAGAAGGAACAGGAGTATTGGGGCAGGGAGAAGGGTCCCCCCAAGGTATAGCAAACTATATTGTAGCAACTTTCCCTAACTCTGATTTTTAGTTTGTCTCCAGAGTGATTCTGGGAGTGTCTCATGATGACAATCGCAAAATGCTATAGTAGTCTGTTTAATCAAGAATGTACATTCTTTATCACTGGTCCTGGAAGGACAATCCCAATTAGTTTCTCACCACCACCCCTATTTTCTAGTAGATGAAATAAAGGCTCTGGATTTTCCTGAGTATCTCACATAGATACTGAGAGGCTCTCATTGTCTTTCTAAAATTTCTTTCATAACCCGAGTTATTCAGAAAAAAATTACTTTTAACTTCCATGTAACTTCTTCCTCTTTCGTTATTCACTTCCTGTTCCGTTTACTTATGGTTAGAGAACAAGGGTCACATCACCTGGCCTGGCCTGTGTTCTTATATCCTTTCTAACTTTAACATGTCTTATTTCTTTTTTCTTTCTTTCTTTCTTTTTCTGTTTATGTGGTACTGAGGAATTGAACCCAGGGCTACATGCATGCTAGGCAAGCACTCTACCACTAAGCCACATTCCTAGCCCCCATGATTCATTTCTATAAGGCTTCTATAGGTATTTCCTAATTCTACGCAATGTTCTAGACATTAATAAAAGCAAAAATTTTATGCATTCAAATTTTCCATGTAGTTATCTTCTCTTCTGGTCTACCCAATCCACATGTTTCTGGAAGAACTATTCTAACACTTCCTTCCAGCACAGTGGTCTGGCTAGACACTCCTCATCTTCAAACTGTGCTTTCCATGCTCTAACACCATGTGCCAGGGGAGGCCAGGATTCAGGAGGAGACTGGGACACAGCCCCAAAACTCACCACTGAGCAGTGAAGTCCACAAACTCGGGGGAGAACCGGTCAGCTGGGAGCTGAGGGGACGGCTCCTCCACCACCTGCTTCAGCTGCTGGAATGGGGTCCCCCAGGACTCATAAGGGAAACGCAAGATGGCCATCTCAATCTGCAACGGGGACATAGGTCAGCAGGCTCTGGCCACCACATGAACGCATACTTTGCACCCAAAGCAGGGGGAGGAGGAAGAGCCCAGCACGGCCCAGCACCCACAGCCAGACCACTAGGCTAGTGTCACTCCCCTGACACATTGCAGCAGACCAGACATGAAAGCCAGGGGGTGCCAGCACCAAGCTCCTCCACCCAGCCAACAGGCCCTTTGCAAAGCGCTCCAGTTAGTCAGGCCCTTAGTCTCTGATTGCCACAAGCCACTCTCCTCCCTAATATCTCTTTGACATAGACTTAAATATCTATTGCTTGTCCATTGCTACTCACCTGTGCAAGCAGGAATTGATATGGCTCTCTCTGCATCAGGTCAGCTGACTGAGATCTGCAGCCCTTCTCTGTAGAGTCCCAACCCCACCTGCCAGCACTGCCTCCTCGTCCGGGGAGCCTTCCCCTCTCCACCCCATCACTTGTGTTCTGGCCAACACACGTGATTGGCACACTGTCACCCTCCTGCTGGGCCTGGACTCCTTGTAGGTGACAAGAGGTGGCTGATAGATCTCTGTCCCTCCCGCTCAATTGGGACTCCTAGTACTACCCAAGCTATGCCAGCAGTAGGCAGGAAGACACCGGGAAGAGACTAGCCAGCCTACAACACACTCTGAGTTCAGCTTCTGACTGCTGGGATACAAACACCACAATCAGGTCAGCCCAGGCCCCTGCCTAGAATAGCAATGAATTGCATAGTTCCAGCCCAAGGCCTCAGTGACAGGCCATAATCACCGCAATGAACGAAGAGAGGCCTCCGCTCAAACAAAAGCCTTGTGTCGGCAACACATACAGCACCAGCCGGAACAGAACACTAATTATTACACCAGGAAGGGGCCTTCCTAGCTGAGGCGGAAACCCGCCCACAGTGGCGGCAGGCGGCAGCCTGTGTATGCTGTGATCTCAGGACAGAACTGGGCACACTCTCTTCCAGAATATGCAGATTCCACCATGCAGATGTAAGGTTCCTCTGTACACAGCAAGAGAAAGTCTGGCAGCCGTTGGGGCCTGACAAGGATAGAGAGCAGCCAAGGCCTGGACCACCTATTCCTAGCTCATCTTTAAAAACAAAAAACATGGGCTGGGAAGGTGGCTCAGTGGTAGTGCGCTTGCCTTGCATGCAAGAGGCCCTGGGTTCGATTCCTCAGCACCACATAAGCATAAAAAAAAAAGCCGGAAGTGGTGCTGTGGCTCAAGTGGTAGAGCGCTAGCCTTGAGCTGAAGAGCTGAGGGA